TGCGACTATACATGCGTACGATCCAGTGATATGAGGAGTTTTAACTTTTCTATTTTTTTTTACTCATGTGAAGAATCGCGTGACAAGAAAATATTTCCCAATTTGTCATAATTTCCCACTGTCGAGAAATCTAATCTTTGTAAATGCATGGAGCTACTTTTTAAAACTTATAAATATATATATCTGGATTTTATCCTCCTTAGGTTTACCCATACGGATTACCTAGTTTTTAATAAACTATATATATATATATATATATATATATATATATATATATATATATATATATGATAGGAAAACGAACGAATAGGAAACAGATCATAATCTAACATGTTTCATTTTATTAAAGTTTCTTCGGAGATCAAGATAGAAATAATTAAAAGCAAAAAAAGCAGATTAATCGTATGTTGTGTTAGGCTATTTCATTGCTTAGATACGTATAACGTAATATTTAAATATGTGTGGCAAACATTATCAACACTTAAGCGTAATATAATATTTAAATATGTGTTTTAACAAACATTATCAACACTTAAGACGTGTAATATATATATATATACTATGAAATGGACTAAGTCTGACAATTATTTTTCTTATATTTATTGTTTATACGTTATTTCTAAAATGCAGTAATCGACCTTGCTAACCAGACGCTTCCTCTGTAGTTAAATGGTATAGCATCTATTTTCTGAGTAGGCTATATTTGATGGTTCCGTGATTGTATTAGGATACAGGTTCGATTCTTGTCGGAGGACACATATTTTCTATGAAATTTCTCGGATATTCAGGCCGGTATATGTTCTTATTACTTGTTATTATAAACAGAGCATTTACTTTAATATTGGTATATGTGTAATAATAACGTATAAACAAAAAAAAAAATATATATATATATATATATATATATATATCTTTTCTCATATTATCTTAACTTCGAAAATGCAAACATTAAAAGAAAGAAACAATACCCCCTATTATTTGGGGACAATTTATTAATTAATCAAACAAAAATCATATATATATATATATATATGAAATGGACAAAGTTCGACTATTATTTTGAAACATTTGTTATGTTTATACGTTCTTTTCATAGACATTTACCGGCCTGAATGTCTTAGAAAATTTTTCATAAAAAATGTCTTAAAATAATTGTCGGACTTTTGTCCATTTCATAATGTGTGACGTCATTTGTTTACATCTGGATACGCACCGAGCAGATATGAATGTACGAGGATCAATGTTCTAACGAGCTTTTTTTGTCGTCCTTTTTTGTTAAATAAGTAAATATTATTTGGCTTTATTGGTAAATATTGGTTGGCTTTATAGGTAATTATTGATTTACTTTATGGATAATTATTAATTGACTTTATGGGTATATATTACTGTGCTTTATGCATAAATATTAGTGGTCTTTATGCGTAAATATTAGTAGGTATTATGGGTAATTATTAAGTGAGTATATGGGTAAATATTAGTTGGTTTTGGGGCTAAATATTACTGGACTTTATGGGTAAATATTAGTTGGCTTTATGGATAATTATTAATTTACTTTATGGGGAAATATTAGTTGTTTTTTGGGTAAATATTACTGGGCTTCATGGATAAATATTATTTGGCTTTATGGATAATTATTAATCGACTTTGTGGGTAATTATTAATTGACTTTATTTATATGACTATTGACTTTATTAGTTGCTTTTATTTGTAAATATTACTCGGATTTATGAATAAATATTAGTTGGCTTTATGTATAAATATTAATTACGTTTATGGGTAATTCTTAATTAAGTTTATAAGTAATTATTAATTGACTTTATAGGAAAATATTAGTTGGTATTTGGGTAAATATTAGTTGGCTTTATAGGTAATTATTAAATGATTTTATGGGTAAATTTTAGTTGGGTTTATGTATAAATATTAATTACCTTTATGGGTAATTCTTAATTAACTTTATGAGTAATTATTAATTGACTTTATAGGAAAATATTCGTCTTTGGATAAATATTAGTTGGCTTTATAGGTAATTATTAAATGACTTTATGGATAAATATTAGTCGGCTTTCTGAGTATATATTAGTTGGGTTTATATTTGAATCAATAGGTCAACCTTGGTAAGGTTTATACTCAAGTCATAATGTTAACATTGGTCGGGTTTATATGTGAGTCTGGCATCATTTACCCAGAAGGTGATCTCCTTTATCTTCTTGGTGTCTGGTGTGTGGCAAAGTTTAGTGTTTAAGAACAACATGCAAATATATCAACTATTATTGGACAGATATGACGTGTATACAAGTATGAAACTCATTACAGGAAAGAAGTAATATTTCCACCATTTTTCTTTCTTTTTCATTTAATGTGCCGCGTCTATTCAGGGCGTAGGCAGTCATGGCCCTCCAATTATCCCTATCCCTTGTACCTCTCAATAAGTTTTGTCTCTTTGCTACTTCTCCCAGGCCATGTTCTCTCATCGACTTGTTTAAGCGTGATAGGTATGTCA